CCAGCCAGCCACCTGCTTTTATTCCCTAGGTTCAGTCACCAGTACAAAAAAGTTGTCAACCCCTGTCTTAGAGCCTTCTTGTACTCCTCTTGGTGTTAGACCTTTTTTTTTTTAATGTAGGATATACATTTATTAGCAGTGAAAAAGCATTTACCTAAACTGAATGTTACAAAATACAAAGTTACCAGGCTCTCCCGCCGTGAACCGCGCGGCCCGCCATGGGCCCGCGCCGGAGCCGCAAGCCGAGGCCCGGAGAAGGCTCAGCGCGAGCCCGACCCCAGGGACGCCCAGGCGGAGCGCCTCCTTGGGGGCCTCCAGTCTGCGAGCTCCGCGGAAACATAGCTGGCTCAAAGAGATCCGAAAGCTTCAGAAGAGCACAGACCTCTTGCTGAGGAAGGCTCCCTTCAGCCGAGTGGTAAGAGAAATATGTACTAAATTCTCCCGTGGTGTGGACTTCAGCTGGCAAGCCCAGGCCCTGCTGGCCCTTCAAGAGGCAGCAGAAGCATTTTTAGTCCACCTCTTCGAGGATGCCTACCTCCTCTCCTTACACGTTGGCCAAGTCACTCTCTTCCCCAAGGACGTGCAGCTGGCCAGGAGGACCCGGGGCATTCAGGAAGGACTCGGCTGATCGCCTGCTGCAGTCTCCGGAAGTCCTTCCAGCTCAGCAGAGAGGATGATACCTGGGACCCCAGAGTCACCACTAAACCCAGTGACATCTGCCGTGCTCCCTGGACCTTGCTACCTTGCTGTCTCTGAGCAGTGTGTGCGTGTTGCCTTTGACATTTTCTGTGTGAAGGAGAAGACCGCGTAGCTTCCCTCTGTAGCAGAGGTGCTGTGTAAGGGAGCCAGCACGGCTCCAAAGGCCTGAGAAGTGTTTGCCAACCGAAGATTCTGCGGTCACCTTCAGTTTGTGAACCACTCATATGACTGCTCAAGGATTTTGAAGACATCAGCTCTGCTTTGTTATGGAAGAAGGATATTTACTTATTGTTTTACATCTTCCTGTACTATGTACATTTTTTATTATATGTAAATTTGTACTTTTATTTAAAATATAAGGGAAAAAACAAGAGAGCATTTCAATTAGCTGGATGGAATGGCTGGCCAGGCACTCCTAGTATACAAGTTTCTTCCTTCCAGATTAATCTCATCACTGCTGCCTGTGTAGTTTTTCAGAACAGAATTGAGGTTAAAATAGAAAATCTTTTTTCTTTTTCTTTTTTGGTGTCAGGGATCAAACAGAGGGCCTTGTGCATGCTAAACGTGCTTTACCATGGAACTGCACCCCATGCCTGAAATAGAAAAATCTTCAAATCTTTCTGGTTTCTCCTAGTAAATTCCTAACAAAATATCAAAATCATTCAGAAATTCTGACTCAGAATTTAACATTTTATGCTTAGCTGTAAATCACAGATGTGTTATATCAGTCCAGGATTTTAAAGTGCTTTTTCACTGTTTTTACAGACATTTTTATAGCTTCTTTTTGGAGAGATAATAAAAGTAATTCTTTAAAAAAATTGAAGTTATTATTACAGTATACAGAGATTATATTGCATGTTTGTACCTTAACATTAAGTCCTTTGAATGCTATCCCCAGCATTGCCAAAAAAAATTTTTTTAAAGACTGAACGTTAAGTTCTTTTGTACAGTTTATAAACAGCCACAATTTTAAAGAGAATTGAAGGAGGTAGTTTGGTTCTGATGGAGTAGAGATGAACAGCAGATAAGAACCTACACTTCTGTTGTCACTGAAAGCAATTTAAGAGATTTCCAGAGAGATAAGAAATGCCACCCCCACCCACTTGAGAGATGTGTGTGGTGAAAATGAGCAGTGAGTGCAGGCTACTAATGTTAGTCAAGACAGACCAACAGGCCAAAGGGAAGTGATGACTTTTATTGCTTAATAAATAAATTTTAATCCTTTGGGGAAAAAAAAATACAAAGTTATCACCAGTCTGGCTAGTTCATTATTTTAGATATTATCCCAACCTGCACAGGGTTCTCTTTTATTTTGACATTTTCTCCCTCTATCTCTAACCAAATTTTTAACTTAAAAATTAAGACAAACAGGAATATTTAACGCCTAACTCTTTAAAAATAGTTACTAGGAAAAAAATTGAACAAGTCACCTGCTCTCAAGCCCTAGATATTTTAAAACTAAAGTATCAATAAAATAGAAAAATAATAGACTAGGTAGCAGTTACAAGTCAAGTAAGCTAGTTTAATAAGATTTTTAGGTACCATGGTAGTAACTAGACAGTAGCTACAACATAAGTCAAATAAGCTAGTTTAATGAGTTTTTTAGGTACTATGGTAATAACTACCGTATTAAACACAATTCTTCCACTGTATCCTTAATATGCATGCAGGGAAAGACAGCTGTAATATGTAAGGCTTGGCTTAAGTATCAAATGAAGTTTTCCCCTCTTCCTATTGAAGAGAGTTTAGAAAATACAGAGCTTGAGTATACATACAACGTAACTTACTGTTCCAAATTCCCTGAAGTCAGTCCAACTAGGTAAGAATTCCTCATTCTGGACTGGTACTTTTCTGAATGGGTTTTATTAATGCTGGAGATACAAGCCTTACATAATTTAAACTAAGTAGCAATACAGTAAATCTCCTCAAAGGGGAAATCCTCATTTAATATTTCCTGATTCAAGGTTATAGTTTATGCTATATAAAGTATCACACAAGTAAGAATTTTAAAAGAATATCAAGCAAATTTTTCGTATGGGATAGCTGAGACAACTGTCTTCAAATTGAAAAGATACTTGGGCACTAAGATCTAATTCTTCACATTTTATTCAAGGAAACATCTGTAAGACTGACTTATTCATTGTTACCTGGCTCTGTCAGGCCTAAGTGAGTCTATGGTAAGATTGGGATAAAACAGTAAATCACCTTTTAAAAGTTGGTTTACTTATAGTGCAGTCACATAGATTTTCTTTATTCAGTACTTCAATACTCCTGTGAACCTGCTTCTCTCTCACTACACACAAAAATCAAAGGTTAGGCTTTGGTTTTAAACTATCATTTAAAAGGCAAGCTTGTCCAAAGGCATACAGAACCTTAATATTCTGTTACATTATTTAAATCTACTTATCCCTACTTGAAAGAGTTTGGTCTTTCATTTAAAATTAACCAAAATGTTACTTGCCTGTCCAGAAATACTCCCTGATTATATTTTTTAATTTTTAAACTGAGGGAACATAGATAGGATTTGCAAATCTAGAAAACATTCATTTAATAGACAACTACATAAGTTCTAGGTACTGATGATTTATGTTTTAAACTTAGGCATTTTAAATAGATTACTAATAAATATTCTATGATAACTTCACAAGTACTTTGGATATCTTTATCATACACATTTTTTAGGGGGGCACTGGGATGATTCTAGGGATCCAACCAAAGGCCTTGTGCATACTAGGCAAGTGTTCAACCACTGAGCTACATTCCCAGTCCTGCCCTATTCTTACACAGGAATAGGACCTGCAGGTATCTAAAAGAACACTAGGCATATCAGCAGCAACAATGATATTATTTGGAAGATGGGGCTAATGGCTGGGTTCTATAATAATATATTTAATTCCTGATCATAGCTTTCGTTGAGTTGCCTAAAATTATACAGAACAGTAATTTGCTGTATTGAATTCAACATAATTTCCAAAGAAAGATACAGGTAAGTTCAAATTTTATTTAAGTCTACATTTTAAATTTAACATTACCAAACATCACAATGAGGGGGAAAAAAAGAACCCAGAACACAAAAGAAAAAAACAATATTCCTACAGTGTATCAAGGCTTGAGAATTCGGTTTCTGATGTATAAACTGCTATGGACAGAAATTAGCACATCTATCAAAGATGCAGTGTCAAACTAATTTACATTTTTATACAGATCAAAATGTGTATATTTAGTATCGTTTTCATGTATGCACTATGTAAAGAAAGAATCAGATGAACCTCTGAAGACATCTCATAGACTCTGGGCTCCCACTGTTTCAGGTTCTTTTGGTGTCTGAGAATTTCCAGCTAATTCTTCAGTCTGCATTTCACATATTTCACCAGATAAATGGTTTTTCTGTTCTTCTTCTACCATTTTCCTCCTAAGATATGCCTCTGAACATATCATCAGTTTAAGTGCTAAATCTTCAACTTTCACAAAGTCTTCTTCATCAGACTTTTGACTTACGTTACCAGATTCTGCTTCATAGTCATTCACTAACACTGGAGATTCAGTATCGGGACTTCCAGCTAGTGAGCTTTCAAGAGTTTCCTGAGCAGATTTAACTTCTTTGACTCTAGGCACTAAGGTTTCAATTTCAGTTAAAGGTAACGGCAGAGGGTTAGGCTGTTGAGATGAATCAACAGTAGTAAGCAAGTCCTTGTGGGCAGCACTATTTAAAGGTTGCTCTTTTTCCAAGATATTGAGATAATAGGGCTTCATAGGAGAGCTATTTTGGTCATCTTTACTAATGTGTTCTTGTTCTGATGGGATCTTTGTGCTTTCTGCTGTTTTTTCAAGTTAATGTTGTAGAACCTGATCATCATGTTCATTTTCTTCTATAGTTTCAGTGTTAGCTTGAAGTGAAGTCTGGACATCTACAAGGCTCTCTTCAAATTCTTCTATTTCTTCATCCTCATTCTCATCTTCTCCACTTCCATAATTAGTTAAAGCCTGAGTTTCCGCTTTAGACAAATTAATTGACACTGGGCATCCATCACTTTCTTCATCTTCCTCTTGATCAGAAACATCAGATCTTGCATTTTTGGGACCTTCGGCACCATATACCTCAGATGTCTGAGTCTGTTTAACTGTTTCAGTTTCATCTTTGTCTTTGTCTTCATCATCAATCTCTCTAGCAGGTGAGCTGTGATCTCCTTCAAGAATCCTTTTGGCCTCTTTGGCATAAGATTGTATTACCCCAGCTGCTTCTATTTTCCTTTTGCATCTCTATTTAACAGTTATACTATTATTATCCAAATCTTGCATGAGCTTAAAGAAAGCCAATTCATTAAACAACACTTCAGATATCTCTACAAGAAGTTCTTTTCCACAGTCTTTCAGTTTTCTGCCCACAAATTTTATCAGTGAATCCTGTAATATACTTCCAAGTTGTTTATGAAAGAACTTTACAAACTCCTTACTCTCATCATTTTGCTGGGTAGGAGTTAAAACCATGCGTCTTACTGAAGTGAGAAGTTGAGAAGAGTATACAACATCCATGTGTTCCTTTAAGAAAGGAATGACTTCTGTCATAATTGCTTTTATTTCCTGGTCCACCTGCTGAGTATCAATTCTAGGACATGGGACTGTAGAAACTTCACTTACAGGTTGTTGTGAACCATGATTTTCAATAATTGGAGTTTCTTCTAAATTATTAACTATAGTGGTAGCAGTAGCAGTATCTTTATCCTCAACAACCCTGCAGGTGCATCTCACATTTGAATTACTTTCAGCTTCAGTCTTCATACGCTCATATTCTCTCATTCTTGCTAATGCTTGATCTAAGTGAATCACGGTGTTACCTAGATCATCTGTTGCAAAAAGCTCAAAATTTGAAGATACAGATATGACACTAGCATTATCAGCATCATTTTGCTCACTTATTTTAGGCGTTTTTCTTTCAAAGTTCTTCTCAAAAGTTTCATCATCAGTAGTAGCCAGGCTTTCACTGGGTGTAAGGTCCGAGTTTGATGCTATCCAAGTACCAGAGTTCACTGACTTTACATTTTCCCCTTCTTTTTCATGGCTTTCAGAAATATGTCTGGACACTATGTCCTGCAATACATATAAAGCTCT